GGAGGGTGGAAATTTCATCCTTCATGGCATTCTGCCATTGAGGAAGAGATTTGGCTTGGGTGAAGGATGTAGGAGCAGTAGACAAGGTTGGGGAAACAGAGGTAAGATGAGCCGAGGGATCAAAGATTTTCTTGGGCTTGGGTTTTGGACGAAGTGTCATTGAGTGCTGACGGGAAGAAGGAGGAGGAAGTGGCGGCGGAGGACTGCAATCAGATGATGAAGAGCTGGATGCAGGAGATCTAGCTAAAGGTGATGAGTCGGGAGGGATAGGAGGAGATGAAAGAACTGGTGTACTAGAAGGAGACGAAGAAGACGCTGAAGACGACGCAAGCATACCAGGAGAACTGGTTACACACAACCAAGGGGTAGCAGGAGACTCCAGCAGCAAAGAAGGAGAACTAGGAATAGGAAGTTTAAAGGGAAAGAGTTTCTCATCAAACTCAACGTGACGAGCAATATAAAGACGGTTATTCACCACATGAAAACAGCGATAACCAAGATGAAATGGAGAATACCCAAGAAAGACACACTGAGTAGAATGAAAGGAGAATTTATGTTTATTATAAGGGCGAAGAAGAGGATAGACAGCGCAACCAAAGACACGGAGAAAGGTATAATCAGGTGGCTGGTGATATAGTGTAGTGAAGGGTTGGTGACCTTGAAGAGGTTTACTAGGGTGGCGATTAATCAAAAACACAGCAGTTTCAAAAGCAAAATCCCAAAACCAAAAAGGGGTACTGGAATGGCCAAGGAGAGCAAGTCCAATGTCGACAATGTGACGAATTTTGCGTTCAGCAATGCCATTCTGCTCATGAGTGTGTGGGCACGCTAAACGATGAACAATACCGACATCCTTAAAGAAAGAATTGAGAGAACGAAATTCACCACCCCAATCAGAGTTAACACTTTTAATGGTAGTGCCAAATTGGTTTTCTACGAGAGCTTTGAATTGCTTGAAAATATGGACAACATCACTTTTATACTTAATGGGATAAATCCATGTGAATAAAGAGAAGTCATCAACAAAAAGCACAAAGTAGCGATAACCATTGAATGACAAAATAGGAGAAGGAACCCAAACATCAGTGTGAATTAAATCAAGAGGTTTAGAGCTACGATGAAAAGTAGAAGGTAAACTGACCCTATGTAACTTCCCTAAACAACACGCCTCACATTTATCAGTGGACGTGGACACAGAGGAATAAGGAAGTTGAAACTGCCTAACCAAAGTACGAAGAGTGACATTATTAGGGTGACCTAAACGAGCATGCCACTGACCTAAAGAGACAAGATAAGCTGCTGGAGACAAGGAACCACGAGCAGGAAGATCTAAGCGATAGAGACCATTATCAGCCCGACCGCGGAGGAGGAGTTCCTTGGTTGAAAGATCCTTAACACAACAAGAGTAAGAATAAAATTCAAAAAAACAGTGATTATCACGGGTAAACTTTTGAACAGATAACAGAGGCTTAGTAAGAGAAGGAGCATGCAAGACACGATTTAAATAAAGAGGATGAGAAAATGATGGCAAAACAGATTGACCAACATGCTGAATAGGTAAAGCATCTCCATTACCAGCTAAAATATGATCCGTACCAGTATAATCATTGGAGATACCGAGAGAGGACAAATCTGGCGTGGCATGATCGGTAGCACCAGTGTCCGGATGCCAGGGAGTGACAGAAGGGGCATACTGTGCCATATGGGCTTGAGGAGACATAGTCGACTCCGGGTAAGACGGAAGAGGCAACAAACTAGTTGAAGGCGGTGCAGGAGAACTTGCCTGGGCATAAGTAGCCGACCGAACGGCAGGGGGTCGAGGAACAAAATTAGTATCAAAACGGCGTCGACAAGTGGCGGCCGTGTGATTCAAGATGTCGCAAAGCTGACACATCTCACCCGGAGCGGGAGAGGTGTACCCACGCCGACTACCACCACGACCAGAAACCTAATTGCGCCGGCCGCCGCATTGCGAGCGACCGGCACGAGAGGATTGAGGCGGCGTAGGAGAAGGTGGCGACTGCACAAGCATGGCCGTGGGCTGAAGGACTGGCTGTTGGGCGTGAAGAAGCACCTCATACGAAACTAACTGTCCAAGAAGATCTTGATAGGAGGGGGGTTCGGAGCACTGTTGCAGAGCTCCGATGATGCCATTGAATTCGGCACCAAGCTTGCGGAAGATTATGGCATTAAACTCCGCAGGAGATATGCGATGGCCGGCAAGCTGCAGTGTATCGGCGATGCCCTTCGCTTTGGAGAGGAGAGCCGTGATCGACAAGTCACCTTTTTGCAAGCTGTGGAGCTCCATAACAAGCTGGGTCTGTTGAGCATAAGAAAGAGTGCCGAAACCCTGCTGAAGAGCTGTCCATGCAGCCGCTGACGTTGTGCAGCCCTGGAGAACGGGAAAAATGTCTTCAGCAACGGAAAAAAGAATCCAAGAGAGGACCAGCTGATCCTTTTGCTGCCAAATATCAAACTCAGGGTTGAGTTGAGGCGCAGCACCACTGACGGAAGGAAGAAAACGTGGCGGTGCAAGGTCAGTACCGTCGACAATACCGGCAACACGAAACATAGTCAATAAAGGAGTAAACCGGAGACGCCAAGACGAATAGTTGGCTCGAGATTGCAGCTTCACAGTAAAGGAATGATTGAGAGATTGCAGACTAGGTTGAAGAAGAGAGACTGATGTCTGTGCCGGCAGCCGAAGATGGGTAGCCTGGTCGGTGGATGAAAGGTCGGTGATAGTCATTGTTGAAAATAAGCAAGCAAGACTGAAGAAAGTCCAATTTTTCTGTTTTTTTTTTGTTGTTTTTTTTTTTTTTGTTTTTTTTTTTTTTTTTTTGGAAGAAGCAGCAGCAATTAGAAAAGGGATCAATTAAGAAGCAACAGGAACGGCGGTTTTGTTTTGGAAGAAGCAACAGTAATTAGGAAAGGGGATCAATTAAGAAGCAACAGCAACGGCGGCAGACGGCAACACCACGAACAGCACTACGGGACAACACAACAACGCCGACGAAGTGAAGGAAGATCACGACGCCGAACGGCAGTAGACGACCACCGGCAGCAGTAACAGAACACCGGCGGCAGCAGCAGAACCACGCCGACGAAGGGAAGGAAGACCACGACGCCGACAGCAGCAGCAAAAAAAAAGAAAACAGCGGCGACGACGCCGACGACAGGTCTGAAGGAGACACGCCGGCGACGAGCAGAAGAAACGACGATGACAGCAGCAGAAGAAACGACGCCGTCAGCAGCAGCAAAAAAGGAAAACAGCGGCAGCGGAAACGACGACGAACATACGCCGGCGAAGAGCAGAAGAACCGAAGAAGAAGAACCGAAGAAGAAGGAGAAAAGAGGAGCCGGATGGGCTGTGCACAGCCGAAGAAGAAGGATTCGGCGGCGGGGGAGAGAAACGAGAGAGGAGAGAAAAAAAATTTTATTAAACCTTAGCTCGATACCAACTTAGAATAGGGGAATTGTGTTTTATACATAACATGTTATGCACGATATACAGACTATATATAGACAATAACAAACCCTAAACTAAGACATAATAGGAAATATACTAAATATTACAATATGGAATAAAGCAATGTGAAAACAGTTGTGGGATTTGGAACAAAAGAAAGATAGCCAATGGATAAAGTGGATGCACATCTACTATTTGAAAGGTGAATCAATTTGGAATTATAATGCTCCTAAAGCCTGCAGTTAGCATCTGAGAAAAGTAATGAAGATTAGGAATCAGCTCAAAGATGGAATAAAAGATAGAAAGTGGTTAAAAGGAAATGAATACACAAGAAAAAGTGGATACAAATGGCTGAGAAAGGGGAAAGCTTAATGGAGGTGGTAATTGCAGATAAAATATGTGTATTGTGTAAGGAAGAAAAAAAAAGCCTAGAACATTTAATATTCAAGTATGATTACTCACAAGAACTATGGCAAAACCTGATGCATTGGACAAGAGTCAAATATAAAATGCAACAGCTAAAGATGAGAACCTTGAGCAGAGTTTGGAGATGGAGATCAATGAGGAGAAAAGGTGTTTCAGGCATACATTAATGCCACTATTTATGCAGTCTGGGTAGAGAGAAACACGAGGAAGTTTGGAGAGCTACAAGAAGATGCATGTAGTAGAGCTGAGAAAGTGATACATGAGTTGAAATGGAATATCAAAACTTTGTATAGAAATGGTAGTGGAGATGATATAAGATTTCTATCAGGTTTAGGCATTCAAATTCATAATTCATTGTAAAAACTCGGTTTGTACATATACTGTTTGTTTTGAATGAAATACAATTACCTTTTACTCCAAAAAAAATGTAGATGTAAAAATAAACAATGGAGCAACAGGTAAAGACGATACAAGAACACTAAATTACATGGAAACCCCATGTAGGAGTAAAACCTAAATTCGAATTTGTTTTATCCAGACGCAACAACAAAGTGAAATATTCCCTTGGGAATAAAAATTCCAAATCTGAACGAAGTCCAGATTATAGACTTCAAAACAAAAATCAGTATTAGCCAATTGAATTCATTGACAGAATCAACAAAAAAATAAGCAGGGATTTATCTACTGATATTGTATGTAAATCAGTATCAGTTACAAATCAAATTGAATCCACTAACTTTTGTTAAACTTTAAGGACAAATCACAATATTGCTTTAGATTTGATGATGTTAAGAGACTTAAGAGCTTAGCTAATTTGTAATGGGAAATTCTTAGTGACTTTACACACTAATAATTAGACTTATTCTTTATATCCACTAGCTTTTGCTTATCATAAGGTCTGTTAGTTTGTCCTAATTTTTCTTTTAATTAAAAATACAATCACAACAAATGTGAAATGCAATTTTAAAATTTTTTTCAATTAAAAAATACATTAAATAAAATTCGAGACAGATAAACTTTTTTTTAAAAAAAACAATTTTATTAATAATAAACAAAAAATAGGGCAGCGAATATACTAAACCCTATATCAAATACAAATTGGATTTTAAAGTAAAGTTGAATCCTTGTTCAATCTAGCAGAGCGACGAACTTGAACTGTCTTTTTAGCCTTGGCTTTTTTCGATCGATTGTGATACGTTGGAGCAGAAATTTCACTGTAAAAAGACTCTTGTTTCTTTGCATATTCCATATCAAAGTCGTCATCTTCAGAAGCATGATTTAGTCCACCTTCGGAATTTATTTTTTCAATCGAATAATTTGGAATAAAAGTCTCAGTGTTCTTCCCGATTTCTGTATCATCCTTGGACAAGTACGATTTTGCAGCCGTAATGGGCAGTAAAACTTGTAAAAGAGGCTGAGGAGAGATGGTAAATTCTGAGGCTTCCGGATTTAACTTTTTAACGGGGCTGTTAAAAGAGTTATTTGAGGAAGAGATTCTTTCCTTATTCAAGGGAGAAGAGCCGGATGCAGAAGAGTTATTTGACGCTGAGTTTTCCTCACTTGAGTTTTGAAGAGTCTTATGCACAATTGGCGCTAAGATCACGGGAGTCTACTCACCTTTGTTCCACACTTGAAGAAGGAAAAGATGGAGTCAGTTTCGGATTCAAACCTAGACGACCTTGGAGATTTGAAATTGAATAAGTTTGGCTAGAGATTCCGCACATCTTGGGCGTGGACTGTACATCAACGGGATTCTGTTCCAAGGGCGTAATATTCGGGAGTTTGCCGGCTGTCATAGGAGATTCTCGCCGCCGTTTCAACTTTGACGATGTAGCAGCCATCAAAGAAGACCAAATTGATATGAATTTTTCAATTCCAATCATCGGATTATCAGCAACAATAGAAACCAGTTGAGCAGCAGCAGCGGAGGCACCAAAAGTTTCGGTCACGGTGTTGAGTTGAGTCGAAGTTTCAACGCCCTGATGCACCCCAAGCAAATCTTCAGCGCCTTCCTGGGCTGCTGAGACTTGTTGAGCGTCGTTGATTTGTTGAACATTCACTTCATTGATTCGCTCTGAGATCGGCGGTAAGAATTGAGGGGAAGATGATTTTTCTCCCGTAATCAGTGGAGAAGCAACAACATTGGCGGCTCACTGTTCAGGAATAGCATCGCTAGTTTCTTGTTCGGCGGTGATGGTTTGTTGATCTTCCAACAGCAGCATAACAAGGAGATCCTCTGGTTGGATCGCTGATTCCACCGGCCCATTTTGTTTATGCGCAAAAGTCTCTACTTTCGGAGGTTCACCTTGGGAGTCACAGCAGGCTTATGTGCGACTTTCAATGGATTGTTTGTTTCCTGCGTGTTCTTTTGCTTGGCTTGGGATGATTGCTGTAACTGTTATTTCGGATGATGCAAATCAATCTTTTGTGATGATGGTAAAATTGTGTTGTGTCGGCAGGAATGGACATCATGTCCAATTTTTTTACAATCGACACAATATTGAGGCATGTTCTCATAAAAAATTGATTGAAAATAGTTCGATCCTTCAACGCCCAGTCTGATGGAAATTGGATGTTCCTTGAGAAGATGCAGTTCCACACAAAGTCGTGCTACCGATAGTCGTGACAGGTTAAGAGTTGGAACATCAATTTGAAGCGGGGTTCCGATAATGATAGCAAGTTTCCACAAATATTCTTTATTGAAACGATGAATTGGGAGACCTTCTAGGGAGATTCAAACAGGGACGATTGAGCTTTCGTGCGCTGGATTAAAATCCGTTGTCCACTTTAGGACCCGCATTCGATGTTTGTCAAATGTCCACAAACTTTTGAGCCAGCAACGGTGAAAATCTTCCTCTAGTTCAAAGCGAATGAGGATGTGTCAGTAATCAATCGATCCAAGAGAAAAACGTCCTTTGAAGCCGATAGTCTGGAATTCTCTTCTCAAAAATTCCATTTTTGGTCGGCCTTTAGTAAACTTTCCTATAAGAGCAAGGCGGAATGGAGCAGCCAATTCAGCATCTTCTTCTTTTGTAAGAAGAAAAGTTGGCTCACCTTTGAAAGTCGTTGGTTCGGAGAGTATCATATTCGAATGGTGTTTGAATGAGGGTTCATGTATGGCTTTTGGATTTGCCCCGGATCTTAGAATATGAGAAAAAGAGGCCTTTTGGATGTGCTTGGTAGGTGGTGGTCGGCCTGTGGCCAGCGGCGGTTCGCCGGCCATAGGAGAAAAAAGCTAGAAGGAAATCACTCAGGCTTAGAGAGGATTCCGGCAAGGTTATTTCATTTATTTCAAGACAGATAAATTAATATTACCGATTACGGATAGAAAAGAGTACAACAAAGTTCATGATAAATGGAGTCAACAAACCCTACAAACTACATTCATCTTTTTTATACGTCACATTTTCTTTTTTTAGTCTTCCATTGACAATTTCAACTAATTATTCTCCAACGAAATAAAGAAACATTTATTTAATTGATTCACAAACATCAAACAGTAAACCACGACAAAGAATGCTTTACCTTCTTCTTACGGCACGAAAGTTACCCTTCTTTACATGAAAGTTTTGGAGTTTCTTTACAAATTAGTTAAGCTCTTAACATTTATGGGAAATACATTTGGTACCTCATATAATATAAACGAATTGATTAAAGAAAAAACTTATTTAATTTACTTATATATTAATTCTCATCATCGTGTAAACGAATTCATTAATATAAACGAACTGATTAAACTTATGTTGGAGGTAAGATTCCACGGACAAACGAAGGTGCGAATCAAATTTTGTTTTTGTGACATTCGAGCCATCACCATTTTCCAGTAAAGTGCCGGAACCCATGAACCATCATCCTTCAAATCACCTACACATTGGTCGTTTAGATTTATAAGAATTTGAAAACAGCATTTCATAGCTCCGCATCAATCCACTTTGTGATATGACTATTTAATCTTACCGAAACTAAAACTTTTGAGTATCTATATGATCTAGTGGTGGTTTTTTTTGTTTTTTTCTTTTTTTCGTATGCTTTCATCCAGGAAACTTCCAGTGTTCTCTTTGATCTTCATTCCGAATTCGTTTTTAACAAAAAAAGTTCAGTGAACAATTATCTTCATATATTTAGATATCGTGGTATCTTTTGTTTCATTGTTCACGATGTGTAATGATAATTTTTAGTACGTACGTTGTTTGTTTCCATTGTGTGTTTTTGTAATAAAACATTCTATATAAATATGTAGTACTCAAACTGGCTAACCCTCGAAATAGAACATTGGTGCGACGATGGTTCGCGAATTTAGTTAATTAATTTATTATTTCATCAGGGTAGACGATGGCCTCATCTAATGTTTTGTTCTTTTGCTCCATTGTGTGCACGTTATCCAAGAAAGGATAAAATATTAGTCCAAAGAGGAAACTCTAAAAAATTATGCCTATTAATAGTAGACTTGTGGATAATCATTCTCTCCATCTCTTGTCTTTCCTTTCTTTCTTTGCTGTCAGGATAACTTGATACCTAGCTAGTTTATTGCATTAAAAAAAGAAAAAAAAGAAAAAAAGATTGAATGTTTTACTGCAATTGGTTTTCTTCGGAGTTCCAATGCGAGGCCAACATAAAAAAATTGTTATCGGTCAACCTATTTATTCATCTTAGCCGAACCACTTGTTGTAATCGATGGAATTAGGTTGGCCTCCACATTGAAACTTGAAAGGAATCCAACTGTAAGGAGGCAGATGCAAATTGGGTTGTTCTTATTATTAACTTTTCCACCCAAAGCTCAAACCCTTGTGTTATTTCTTTAAAATTGATTCTTACTTGTGGCTTCTTCTTTTTTCCTGATGGTTTCTGATTGAAGAAGGAGAGTACTTTACTTTTTCTGCGGGAAGTGAATTTGGAATTTATCAGAAAGGTTTTTTTATGTGTTTCTTTTCCATTTCATTCAAATACAGCTAGTGTTTATGTTCATATTGTACCTTCGGTTTTGGAAAATACTATTAAGTGTCTTCAGTCTAGAAAGCAATGTTTAGTTTTGAATAAAAGATTCACCTAGATAGAACTATTAAGGTAGTGCCACTGAATTGCATCAAATATTGGGTGAAAGGCTAGAAATAACAGTCGATTTGTTTGCATGCGACGGGTTTGATTGTATGCCTGCTTTTGTAGCTGGCTGAAAAATCCGGCAAGAAATCCGATCTCAAATGCCGGCAACAAATTCCTCAACGGAATGATCAGTAGGATTCCTCAAATTTGATTAATACTTACACGCATCTAAGTTTAATGGGTTGTTACCTTACATATTTATGAAGCAAGAATCATCTTATAATTTGTACCAATATTTGAAATCTTTGATCATGTTTGGCTTGTAGTTTAGGTACCTCTACGATCAAAGGCTTGGATAACTTTTTACTGTGAAGTAGTTGAACTAAAATCTGAAAATAATACATTTCAAAATGTTTCACAGTTATGGTTATACGGAAGTGTTGGTGAAACATTACTCTAGAGAATATTATATTTGATGAGCTTGTACAAAGCCAATTGCCATAATACTTTAACTCAGTTTGATGAGATTGAATTCCATATACTTCATTTGGTACAACATTATTATAGAGAAGATATTAAATGGGAAGCTGGTCTATGAACTTCTATTTTATTTTCTTTATTCTTTATTGGAACCATTAATATAACCTACATCTCTAACGGACTTTAGTGAAACCATTACTTAGGTGACCCGCTAATAAGAAGAATGCCACAAATATTCAGATACAAGATTATGCTGATTCACTCAAAGGCCGTATTTAAACTCTTCACCAAACCAAATAAATAATCACTAAACAACACACCCCGTGTGGTACACCGACTGCTAGTACAAACAGTAAACCATTCTGAAACTCTTTAAAATTACAGGGCATTAATTATTACAAAATTAAATCTTAAAACAGCGGTTGGCTCCAGGGACATTGTCTCGGCATTTGTACTTCGGTAATTAATCGACCATGAAGTACTAAATGGGAAAGAATTAATGAAGGATCAGATGAAGTCGTTCTCCGAGGTCGTGGAAATTTTAAATGTCATGGAACAAAATCTTATTCTCTATTTCACGGTAAGTGTTTTTTTTATTTTAAATTACAAATGGTCAGCTATTGTTATCCATTCTTGGAAAATAACTAACCACAGAGCTAAAGACCGACAAATGCGATTGTTAACGAGTCCAATCACGCAATACGCATAGTTCTGTTTAAACTAGAGTGTTTAGGTAGTGGAAATTGTCACAAACCCAACCAAACAATATTGTATACCTTCGCAAAAGAAACAAAGGCGACCTCAATACATAATATTATTATTATTCTTTTTCTTTTGGCACACATTTTTATAATCTGAGAAAAACCTTAAAAGAGGTTTCTCCAATCTTATCAATAGAAAAAATATTAAAATTTACTGTTTTTATCTCAAGAAAATTTACTGTTATTAGTATCTATATAAGAGTTAAGGGTGATTTTTTGTTCTTTCTTATGTTTTCATTTGTTTTTTTTTTTCCTTTGTTTTTGTATTTTTGGAGTAGCTTTCATCATATGACGTTCTATTAATATGAAACTAGAATGAAGCTAGAAATAACCTTATTTTCAAGAATGAAACTGTAGAAGTTTGGAAAGTGATCCAACTGGTTGTCTTTCACCTTAATATTCGATATGCTTCTATGGAGAGAGTCCGTAATTCTTCAAAAGTATTAGCTTAGTGTAATAAGATTCACTTGTCTCTTGTGATCATGAGTAGAAAACGCTAAAATATGTGATTTTGGCGTGTTTCTTGTTGATGCTTTGTGATGATTGGACATATTCAATTGTAAAAAAACTCTTGATACTTGGTAATGAAATTAACATTCCTTTACCAAAAAAAAAAAAACTTATGAAATTAAAACAAATTTGCTTGTTGTTTTTGAAGAAAGTATATTATGTATGAAAATTCTGAACCAACAGACTTAACATTGTTTTAATAGATTCTTCTAGTGTTTATGTACAATATTTGGACGATGTATACGCGAGTTAGGAAAGCAGCAGGAAGCTTATTTTGTTCTGTATGATTTTCGTTATTAGAAAGGTGCAGCGAACAAGTACCATCATATGTTCTTCAGTAAATATTTAAACTAGTTCAAATTAAATCTGGAAGAAAGCTTGTATAATTTAGGAAACATGCAGGAAACTTCCTATGTTCTGTTTTGATCTTCATTCGGAAGTCGTTTTTAACAAAAAAGTTAAGTGAACAATTATC